GCCGTCTGAGGTTCCAGCGATATCGTGGGAAGACATAGTTCTCATCCCTTCCTCTCTACAAGTCTCAGTGTCTTAGAAATGTGATGAGGGTTGCCTGGGAGGCAGCCCCTTAGGGAGAAGTAGCTGCGGGTACTGATGGAGTGTGCTTCCTGGTGATCTGAGCTCAGGCTGCTCCACCTTTTCCTCTCCAGTTAAGCACCTGTCTTTAGAATCTTTCATCCGTTTACTGTGCCTTCCTTAGCCTTGTGCACTTGCCTAAGAAAGTCTGTTCCCATAATTGCTCCCGTCCTGCCTTTTTTATTAAAAGCCTTGTCTTCTTATGTTGATTCTGACTGAAACATATTTTTGATTAACATCTTCCTTCTATTTTAATTTTTAAAACTTCTTTACTAAGAGCTCTTGATAATGTAACCATATTACTACAGAGGGGGAGATAGGAGGATGGAGAATTCTACTCTAGACTGGACGACAGTGGATACCTTTTCACAGGCACCCCACATGGGAAGTGCCTGTATGAGGTTTGCCTGTTTTATTGTATTTTTGCCAATTTGCTACCTGTGAAGGATTTCCTTCGAATACATCTGACTCTTCTTCCTCCTCCCCTTCCTCCTCTTTTCTACTAGTCTTCTGGGGGAAAAAATGAAAGGAGCAACAACAACAATCCCTGCAGTTGTATTTTCAAAGCTTTACGAGTTCAATATTCAAGAACACAGAGTTGACTGAAGTGAGAACTGACAGTTGCCAATTAGTGTGCTGCAAATGGATGCTTCTTGTAAGGAGGGGGACGCTTGTTCATCCTGGCCACTCAGACCCGAAATAATCACACAGAAACTGTGTTGTTTAAATCACTGCTTGACCCATTAGCTCTAGCTTCTTATTGGCTAACTCTTACATCTTCATTTAACCCATTTCTATTAATCTGTGCATCACCACGAGGTCATGGCCTACCAGCAAAGTTTTAGCATGTCTGTCTCCAGCAACAGCTCCATGGCTTCTCCCTGACTCCGCCCTTTTTTCCCAGCATTCAGCTTAGTCTTCCCAACCCAACTCCGTTCTACCCTATCACGGGCCCAAGACAATTTTTTAATTCATTAACCAACGGTATTCACAGCATACAGAGGGGAATCCCACATCAGCTTCTTGTGGTGAATTACTGACCATTTTTCAGTTTAGAGACTAAAGCAGAGAATTCATTTTAGGAGAGAAAGTGCCATAGACTTAGAAACCAACAGTGCACATTTATGCAAGGAATGGAGTTTTCTGATGACATCGCCCATATTTATATGAGATTTACTAGATGAGGGGTGTGCAAGGCAGTACAAAGGGTCAGCTTCCTGGTCTCAGGTGGCTGGGCCAGGCTTTAGGTTGCCAGGCCAGCTGGTCAGGTGTTTGTGGAGTAATTGTGCATGGTGGTTTCTACATTGCAGACCTATGGGATGTTCCTTCTTGGCTGTGTTTTCTCTACATAGGGCTCCTAAGCAGGTTCAGACGTGAGGCAAATGTGGTCTGAAAGGGATCCATAGAGAGCAGCTCCCTTCTCGGGTCCTCTGCTTAGGAGTCAGAGACTCTGGAGACATGTTGAGAAGGTATGTGGATAGAATTATCAAAAATATGAGAGTGGTTATACAGACAGAGGAGCCTCCAGAGATGGTGACATGGTCTAGTGGCGGTGTCTTGGATCCTGGCCCGCAGCTGTGTGCTTTGCTCTGTCTAACTGCAGTGAGTCTTCTCGCATGATGGGAAATCCAATCCTACCTAGGTCCGCGGTTCTCGGAGAGTGAGTCCCTGGGCTGACAGAGTCAGCATCATCAAGATGCTCTAGAAAGGTAGTCCCAAGGCTCTGCAGCCTCAGATGGTGTTTCTCCCTAACAAGTTCCTGTGAGATATTCTTAATGTTAGGTGTGTGTGCGTGTGCGCGTGTGTGCGCGCGTGTGTGTTATTAACAGCCACTGACCTTGACTGAGCTCCACGTTCCCGAGTCACAAAATTCTGGCCTTTACTCAGTTTGATGGCCCAGGCAACTTCTTTACCAGGCTGTGTTCCCAAGAGAGGAGCCTACCTCTCATGTGTGTGTTTCCCTGGGATGCTGTGACCTATAAACTGGGGTGACTTTACGTATTCAGGTAGGACTCCTCCAATCATGAGGTATGTAGTAGGAGGCCTCTTGTTTGTTCCCACCTGCTCAGCCCCGAAATAATCACACAGAAACCATATTATTTGCAATACTGTTTGGCCCACAGCTTAAGCGTATTTCTGCATAACTCATATCTTAAATTAACCCATCTCCATTAATCTGTGTATCACCATGAGACTGTGGCTTATCGAGTAAAGTTCCAGCGTCTGTCTCCAGCAGGGCTACATGGCTTCTCACTCCGCCTTCTATCTCCCAACATTCAATATAGTTTTCCCTGCCTAGCTCTACTCTGCCCTGTCACAGGCCAAGGCAGTTTCTTTATTCGTTAACTAATAAAAGCAACGCAAGACGGAGGGCCTCCCACATCAGAGGTGGACTTGTACAAGAAGAAAGGGGAACAGACAGAGTCTGAAGGTCACCTTTGTGTTCCTTCCTGAGTCCTAGAATAGTCTTTATAGGATAGTTTAGTAAGGCAGTTCACCAGACAAGGCTGAAGAATCTAAAGATTTTTTCAGGTCTCAGTTTTGACTCAGTTGTGCATACTAACCATTTATTAGCTAATTATTAGAAACAAAAAAGGGTAACAAAAGAAGGCTGTCCACTCTGTGCTGCAGGAGAGAGAAAGAAGAGGTCACTATTGTCTGTACCTGCCTGTGTTCTCTAGCCAGCGACCAAGTATATCAAACTATGAACACACAAATGGAATTGATTTCCCAAGAGAGGTCAGGATTTATTTCCAGCAAGCTCTCCAAACACAGTTTGGTCTGTATCCCCCATCCCTTTAGCCCCAAGCACTCTTGGTTGCTTCTAGAATTCTGTATTTGACACACAGTTCCCAGGTAATGGGATTCAAAGCCAAATGCTCAAGCTTTGGAACTAAGTAGATCTAAGTGTTGCCCCCCTACCTCATTACTTATTTTAGAAAATCCATCCCCACAAGTCTTGTTTTTTTTCCATTATAGAAATGGGAACAGTATTTACCTACCCTATCAATTTGTGCACAGGATCAAGGTTCGAATTGTGTCATCCCTCACAACGTGTAGCTGGAGCAGCGTGTGTCTGCAGTATGTCTTTCTCCTTCCAGACTGAGCAGGGCAGTGAAGCCTAGGGTGACAAGTACAGAAATCTGGGAAGTGGCTAAGCACCACTTAGGACACAGCTTTCTAGGAAGGAGAGGAATGTGTGTTGATTTCCCGCTGGTTGGCTTGATGGTCTTGGCTTCCATAAATCAACTTCAGCAGCTTCCCCCTTTTCCTCCTCTCTAACCCTTCTCAGGGCTCTCTCTCAGGTGGAGGCCTGTGCCTCAGACGCAGCCAGCCAGCAGTTAGCCCAGAATGCTGGCTGGGTGTGGCTCAGGTTCCAGAGCCAGCATCCTTGGGTTATGTGTCCCGAGGTTCCATCTGGACAGGCAGTCAGGGCTGGGCTGGACTGGGTCATACTTTTTCTATTGAAACGGATGCAAACTTTACTAGCTTCTGGGGAGAGCAGGGGGCTTTGGGGATTCTTGGATTTGCTGGGTTGTAAACATTCTATGGGAAGGAGGCCCAGGAGAATCTGCTTAGCTTTCCGCCTTGCACATTGAAGTGATGTTGGCTGCATGCACAGATGTGCCAAGAAAGGAATCTAATTTTCCCTTCCTTCTAAAGAATTTGCCTTGGAATTTAAAGTCCGCCTGTCTGTATGTGTCACAAATGTCTTTCTCTCACTTGTAAGCAAGGAATGAATCTTTGGGATTTGTTGCAAAACAGAACATCAGATTGGACGGTGGGGAAAGGGGCGGGGCCTGCTGTGGCCTGGGACTAGGTATCCCTGGCTGAGGCTTGCTCTTTCCAGGAATTCCCATTTCCCGTGTACCAAAGATCTCCAGGGCTGTAAGGCTGGCGTGCTAGTCTGTGCACCATCCCGTCCCCACTTCCAAAAGCGGCATCACGCTTTCATCTGTTGGAAGGAAGGAAGAAAAAGATTGGAAAAGAAAGGAAGAGGTGACACAGGAATTCTTCCTTCTGTCTGCATCCTGCCTGGCCTAAGAGCCCCAGCAACACTGCCTGGAGGGTAGGAATATGACCATGGCCTAGCGGGTTTGTAGAATGACTGTGCCTGCAAATCACAGCTTCACAACTAAGCACACAAAAGCTTCATGCTTGGGTCCTGTTCTTAGATACCGATTCAATTTGATAAGCAGACACTGACACCTGAGAGGCAAATTGAAAACCACTGCTGTACAACTTTCGCACCTATTGACCTGTGTATACTCTAGGTCCATCACTCGGGGCTCTGGGTCTGTGGTACAGAAGGACTTGCTACCGTCTTGTCTTTGCTTCTGTGGACTGACGAAGGGTGTCTGGCGGTTGGGAAAGACAGACCCTGTGACAAGCATAGAGGGGATAATTGTAGATGATTTCACGTGCCAGAAAGATGACAAGCCAAGGCTCTGCGACAGTGGCCCAGTAAGGCTGCTTTGGGTCAGGGTGGTCTGGAGTAGCCTACTGGAAGAGGTAATATCTGAGCGTCAATGATTAGAGCCCATGCACAGTAGGGCTGGGGGAGGGCAGCCCAGACTTGCCACCACAAGGACATATTAGTGGTTACACAGTCCATTAAAGGGGGAGCCCAGGGAAGCTGCCTTGACGGGGCATACAGACTTCTGTCCCAGGCAGCAGCTGAGCTGAGGTGGGAGTCCCGTCGGGGTCTGGTTCCTCTGCAAGCAGTGTATGGTCCAGGCAGTGAGCCTGGAGGTGGTTGGGCGGCTGAACTGGACTCCCTAGCTGCCTGCCCCCACCTTCCCACTTCCTCTTGGGGACTGCAGAAGAGCACCGGGCTGATCTCCCGGTAAGTGAAACTGACTGTAATTTTTTTTATCTCACAGACGATCTCTCGCACACTCCTCTCCGGAGACAGAAGTATTTGTTTGATGTGTCCACGCTCTCAGACAAAGAAGAGCTGGTGGGCGCAGAGCTGAGGCTTTATCGCCAGGCGTCCCCAGTGCCCTCGGGGCCACCAGCCCGACGGCTGCACGTGCAGCTCTTTCCGTGTCTGTCCCCTCTGCTGTTGGACGCCAGGTCCCTAGATCTTCAGGGGCCAACTCAGGCCGGCTGGGAAGTCTTCGACGTGTGGCAGGGTCTGCGCCCTCAGCCGTGGAAGCAGCTGTGCTTGGAGTTGCGGGCAGCCTGGAGCGAGGTGGACGCCGGGGACACCGAGGCGCGAGCGAGTGGTCCCCAGCAGCCACCGCCTCCCGACCTGCGGAGTCTGGGCTTCGGACGGAGGATGCGGCCGCCCCAAGAGCGCGCCCTGCTCGTGGTGTTCACCAGATCCCAGCGCAAGAACCTGTTCGCCGAGATGCGCGAGCAGCTGGGCTCTGCCGAGGCGGCAGGAACCGAGGGGTCATGGCCAGCGCCGTCGGGTGCTCCAGACGCCGGGCCTTGGCTGCCCTCGCCCGGCCGCCGGCGGCGACGCACCGCTTTCGCCAGTCGCCACGGCAAGCGACACGGCAAGAAGTCCAGGCTGCGCTGCAGTAGAAAGCCCTTGCACGTGAATTTCAAGGAATTAGGCTGGGACGACTGGATTATCGCGCCCCTAGAGTACGAGGCCTATCACTGCGAGGGCGTGTGCGACTTCCCGCTGCGTTCGCATCTGGAGCCCACCAACCACGCCATCATCCAGACGCTGATGAACTCCATGGACCCGGGCTCCACCCCGCCCAGCTGCTGCGTTCCTACCAAATTGACTCCCATCAGCATCCTGTACATCGACGCGGGCAATAATGTGGTCTACAAGCAGTACGAGGACATGGTGGTGCAGTCCTGCGGCTGCAGGTAGCGGTGCGGGGCCGTCCGCCGCCCGGGCCAGGGACCGTGGAGGGAGGCGTGATTGCTGAGAGGCGGAGCAGGAGCTGGCCTGAAGAGGCCACGAGTCGGGGACATCCTGGAAGTAGAAGCAGTGGGAGAGGAGGCAGCCCAGCCCTCCCCGAATCTTCCACTCGCCAACCCAGAAGCAGTTAAGGGTTTTTACACTTTGCCTGGCCACCCTGGAAAGACTAGACAAGGATTGTTTTCTTTTTCTTTTCTTTATTACTATGGCTTTGGGTTTTGTTGTGTCTCCTAGATTTTGGTAGGAGATGGAAGGAGGAGGAGAGATGGGTATCTGTCCTCAAAAGTTCCCTGGATGAGGGTGGGGACACGGGAGGGAGGAAGGAACCAATCGCTTTTCTCCGCATCTCGGACTTGTGTGAGAAAGTGGGGTCTTTGTGTCTTTCCAGCTACGTCATAGCTGACGCCCTTGACTTCTGCACAGCGAGTATCAGGAGAGCTGGTTAAAGGAGTAGGGAGTAGGGAGGGATCCTGCCCTTCGAAAGCCTGAGACCTGAGCCCAAGCTGCTGCCTGCTCTCCCATGAATCTATCAGCTCTTCTCCTGGCCTCCGCCAGTGCAGGGAACTGGGAGTTGCCACTGCTGTGGACGCAGGTCTCCGGATGCCTTTACCGTTGCTGGTGGGGAAAGGGGTTGGTATGGATGGAATGACAGGAATTAGTCCCTGTGGAACCCCGTGAAGGATAATGAGAAACCACAAGGCCCAGCTCTGACCCGGTGACAGGGAGCTGCAGTACCCAAGGCTCCAAGGAGCCCACCCCAAAAGATCTTCGTCATGTCTGTTTCTCATTGATTTTCTTTAAACAGAATTTGTCAAAATTCCAGCACTTCCTTTTAAGGGAAAGATTTTTTTTTTTTAAATGGCGAGGAGTGGGAACTCTGTAATTAAGGTAAGAAGGAAAGAGGAGGAGGAGGAAAGGACCTAAGAAGTGGACTCCCGATTCCATCAGGAGGGGAGATGATGGCCCCACAGGAGGATGGAGATAAAGGGCCAGGCCCCAAGCAGGGGAAGGATGAAAGGGCCAGGAGCCTCTGCCTCTGAAGTTTCTAAAAATTAAGACCCCTCCCCTCTTTCTGACATTCCTGAGAGATTACCAGCCAGCCATAGCCCAGGGCTCCCCCTAGAGAATTGTTTTAGATTGTAATTACCAGTTAGGGTTTTTTGGTTTTTTTGTTTTTTTTTTTTTACATAGTAATGAGATACTGTGAAGAGTCAAGGGTTACACTGAGCTTGAGGTGGAAACTGGGGTACAGGCCTCAAGGAAAGAAACCAGAAGGAAGCAGGAGATACCTGCTCCCAGGTAGTCAAGACTTCTCTCCTTCCCTCAGTCTGGACCAGGATTATTTTTAAACATTACCCAGGTAGAGACCCTTTGAGAAGTGGCCTCTGCCTTGTTTGTGGGATAGTTTAAATGGAGAAAGGTATGTTAAAATTTGCAGAAGGTTTTTGGGGTACCCCGGCTGGCTTGTTCTCTCCCTATCTGAATCTGTTGCTTGTCTGGATCAGAGATCTACAGACTGTCAAGGAAAGGGTGGAAAGGCTAATACATGGTAATATAATGAAAAGAAAGAAGAGACAAGACTTGTCCAGGAAAACTAACTTAAATGCACATTTGCTTTGGATGCACTGTTGTTCTGTCGAGGCTGTATATATTTGTTTATTTAAGGTGACTGCAGATGCAAAGAGAAGACATGCAATCATCTTAATGTACAAAACGTTATATGCACTCAAATGTTATAATTTCTAATATTTTTAAAGTTTATATCCGAGTTGTACAAAGTTAAGCATTAATCAGATATTTCGTTCTTTCATAATGTTATCGTTTTCTTAAATATTATTATAAAAATTTAAATCTGTCTAATGGAGAGCTTTTTTTGGAACTGTCTACCTCACTATAATATAAATTTTGACAACACTAACGTTGCCAGAGGTCGATTGATATCCAAAACATTTTTATGAAATACTTCCTTAGATGATACAGAATCTGGTTAATGCCATCTTATTAAACTCATTTTTCCCCTGAATAACTGAGCCTGGTTTATGTGAATCTATAGAAATCATTATCAAAGGATATTATTGTCCCCAGTGTTTTGTTCCAGCACCAGACAATTGGAAGACACTATTGTTTTAAAGGCCAGTGGTATGAGCATTATTTTTCTTCAAAACTGTCCAATAACTGTTGAAATAGTTTTTTTTTTTAATTCATAAAATTAAGGTCAAACCCTGGCGCGCTGTTAACACCATTGACAAACCTGAGCCCCATCACACAGTCTCCAGAATCAAACCCACAACCTCCTGCGGGCTGAGCTTGTGCTCGGCAGACAGTTACATACAGTTACTCGCTCCGCTCAGCTCCTTTAATTACTGATTACGGCTCACAGCTACTATTATCACAGGCAGTACAGACAATGTGTTTTTTGTTTGGTGTTTGCTGCTCATCGGGGAACTCTTTGGCAAGTTCAAGTCTGAGAATTCTTCGTGAGTCAGACACACAGCCCTGTTATATACACAGGGCTGTTGAACCTGTGTTAACCCCAACCACTCAGAAACCCCACCAAGTAGGTATCATTTTAAACTCTTTATTCAAGAGTAACTGAGGTGTGGAGAACTTAAGAAGCTTGCCTTGACCATCCGGTCAAGCTGTGGCTGCTCAACTCAGTCTTCTGAACCAAAGAATCCAAAGATACTCTCTTTTTTAAAACGTATTTTTTGTGTTTAAAAAGATTTTTTTTTTCATTTTACATATTAATCCCAATGTCCCCTCCCTCCCCTTCTCCTGAAGAATCAATAAAGTCTGGTACGTTAAGTTGAGGCAGAACCAAAGCCCTCCCCATTGTATCTAGGCTGAGCAAGGTGTCCCTCTACAGGAAATGGGCTCCAAAGAACCAGTTCATGCCCTAGGAATAAATCCTGATCTCACTGCCAGTGGCCCCGCCAACTGCTCAGGCCACACAACTCTCACCCACATTCAGAGGGCCCAATTCAGTCCTATGCAGGTTCTCCAGCTGTCAGTCCAGAGCCCGTGAGCTCCCACTAGCTCGGGTTGCTGTCTCTGTGGGTGTCCCCATCATGGTCTTGACCGCTTGGCTCATATCATTGCTCTTCAACTGGACTTCGGGAGCTTGGCCCAGTACTTAGCTATGGACCTCTGCATCTGCTTCCATCAGTTGGTTCTATGATGACAATTAGGGTAGTCATCAATCTGATTACAGGGGAAGGGCAGTTCAGGCACCCTCTCCACTACTGTTTGAAGTCTTAGCTGGGGTCATCCCCAAAGATGTTTATCTTTGTCTAATGTTGCCCATACGTCGGCATGAGAATGCATAGTTAGCCACAGTGTTAAAGGACTGGCGATTGGAAGCTGCTGGCTGGAGCTGCCACACAGGGCTAGCAGCAATGTTTGCGGCAATGCTTGCAGTCTTGTAGCACATTGCCCCAACTGGTTTGCACATGGTGTCAGCTCAGACAAAGGCAGCTGAAGAATGCTAGAGGAGTTATACTACCCAGAGTTGCTAGCTTTGGCAGAGATCCTTTAGGTCATTCCTAGGCACTGGCATTTCCAAGATGTTGCCACTGCCTTGGTTGTGATTTTTGTGGGTTCTGGTTATCAAAATAATGATCAATTTACAAACAGGATGTTTCAGAAGATTGGTTATAGAGAAGGGTGGTTGGTTATATAGAATTAAACATTTCTCCATGGAATCAATGTCAATGCAGGTTGTTTTCCAAGGAACTGAGAATTCTTTGTACTTCTACCAAATACCTCTGACTTCCCAGTTCCAGCCCCAAGCCTTACTTTATACATGTCCGTCCCCTCCTTTCCCCTTTCTGCACAAGTTAGATTTCATTTTTCTTATTAAGCTTATGCCTTAACTTGTAGAAGCTAATTGAATTATCCAAAGATGTAAACATACCTTAGTCCTTAACATTAGTGATATTTGCATTTTAAGAAAAACCTTGCTTCATTTGATTTCCTCTGAATACTAATAATAGTAATAGTGAATTCTGGGCAATGCACTAGAAACTTCCACGGATAAACCAGTTAGTCATTGATGATACATGGATGAATGGAGGCACTTGTCACAGGGAAATTTTTGTGTAATGAAAAAATGAATTACGAACATTTTATTCTATCCTTGTCATGGGGAAAAGGTCTCATCATGTAGTCCAGGCTGGTCCTGAATGTATTCCTTCCCCAGCCCAATAAGGTCTGTGATGACAAGCACACGTCCTCCCTGTGGTTTCTTGAGCGACATATTTAATTTTAGTTTCCACTGTATAAAGGCAAAATATTCAACAGTGACTTCTTTCTTTAAAAAGTGGCTTTTTTGATCCTTGTTTTGTTCACGGCTGTATTCCTAGCATTCATTGCCACATCTGACATCGAACAGGCACTTAAGAGCACTAAATGAATGTGTTCACAAATTCTGTTGACAAATCTAGTTGCAGCAATCACATTCAAGCAAATGTCTGCCTAATATCTCTTCAACACGAGTTGAATGAGTCAACTTTTCTTCTGTTCTAGAGGATAGAGAGCATGACTCAGTGTTCGGGACTATGCACTGCTCTTTCAGAGCCTGAGTCCAGTCCTGCATCCATGTAGTGTGGCTCACAGTCTCTTGTGACTCCAACTGCCTGGGATCCAACGCCCTTTGATGTCCTCCAGGACCATTTGTTCGCATGCGTGTGCACACACACACAAACACACACACACACTAGGACCATCTGTGCACACACACACACACACTTTAAAAAATATTAAAAGCTAAGTAATTGTAGTTAAAGGTTTAGTTAATAAATGTCCCTTCAATCTTGTAGATGGTTTTTTTAAAAAAAATCATATAATCCAATTTTATTTTAAAATCCTTCAGTGTTTTTCTAAAAGGAGAAAAAGCAAAATAAATACTTCTTATATACTCACAATTTTCATATAAATTAATAAAGTTAGTTTCTAAAAATTAAACAAGCCACTTTATATGGTTATTAGAAGTTACAGTAAGTATTCCAGTTCTGTTTGTATCTTTTGACTAGACACCAGAAACCCGATTACTCAATTACTCTTTTAAAGTCACAAGAGAGGAAACCCCTTACATACTTTGAGAACTCCACTTCTTATACACACATATCACTTTATAAATGTTTTAAGTACCAAATATATGCAGATCATCCCATTTCAAAAAACATTTTTTTGGATTTAGTATGAAAGTATTGATATTTCGATATCACCTAATATTTTTTACTACAATCTGAAATTTCTTTGAGTTAAAAACATTAACCAGCTAGTCACAGTGGTCCATGCCTCTGGACCATGCCATTCCATCACTCTGGAGGCTGAGGAAGAAAGAGAAAAGAGTTCAAGACCAGGGGTTGCAGAGGTGGCTCAGAGGATCTGACTGCTTGCTATGT